TTGGAAGGCGATAAATGAAGGAAAAGGAACTTATGTGTATAAAGAAAAAACAGAAAGAACCCTGTTTACCAAGACATATATAATATTTCATACAGCAGCAGTGTCGATGGCATCAAAAGTTTAAGAGAAAAATTAATGGCAAATGACTGCCCAAGCTTCGTGGAAATCCTTTTCTTTAAAGGTCCAAAGGTGTAGGGGTAGTGGGAGAGGCAGGGGAAAGGAAAAATGATGAGAAATGGAAAAATGGAAATAAAGTCTTTGTAAATAGGGAAGGGTGGTGGGGGTGAAGGGAGGGCTAGGAATGGGGAAAAAATAAGAACCAAGATGGATTATGTAAAGGTACAATTCCCAATGAGAAATGTAATTGTGTTGTATACCTACAATGTACCAATAAAAGAATTTAATAAAGTGCAAAAAAAAAAAAAAGAAACAAAGAAAAAAAAGAAATCCTTTTCCTTAAGAGTTTAATGGAGAGGGCCGGGGATTTAGCTCAGTGGTGCCACCACTTGCCTTGCAAGCGCAAGGACCTGAGTTCGATCCCTGGTACCAAAAAAAAAAAAAAAAAAGAGTTTAATGGAGAAAGTTAATAAAGACTAGATCACCTATCCCTAAGATATTACCAGAAAATTCTGTTTAAAAGTCAAAACGAATGTGGTTGTTCAGACATTGTGAAGCACATTGGGAAATACCGTCGTCCTCGTGCTTACTCTCATTAGTAGAGAAAAATAATGAAAGTCAAGGTCTCACCAGCTGTGATTCAAACTGCATGCTTTGGTTCCACTTTGAGGAAGTAAATTTTCAAATGACATGTTTTAATTTTCCCATTTAACAAGGGTGGTTTTTTTGTAATTGCTGCCGTCCCAAAGAAATATATTTACAGTTAAAGTAGCAAATGACTCGTGTTTCTTGTTTGGGAATGGTTCATTTACTGTCTTCTCATTGCCCTTCACCTCATCATTTTCTACTTTTAGAATTTCTAAGACAAATGCAGTGGCATAGAGCCTATAATCCCAGCCCTCTGGGAGCATGAGACAGGAAGATCACAAGTTGAGCCCAGCTGGAACACTTTAGCAACTTCGTGAGATCCAGTAAATAAATAAATAAATAAATAAATAAATAAATAAATAAATAGATGAATAAAGCAAGCTCAGGATGTAGCACAGTGCAAAAGTCTTGGCTTCCCAGGGCCGAAAAAATTCCAATGCCCCACATATTTATTAACAAAATATTAAATAGCCAGGAATGAAAATATACCCAAACTGAACAAGATCATCATAACCCTGTGGTAGCACAAATAGGAGAGAGAAAACAAACAAGTAGGACAAACAAAGGTAATAGCCAAGCAACTAAAGAAGGCCCTGGAAGCCAAGCTCTAATGTCAGAAAACAGAAATCTGACATTTGCTTTGTTTTTTCTACTCCTGAAATGAATTCCTACTCAATGAAAGAATACCAACCACAATAGGTCTAAAGAAAGACAAGAAATGTTGAGGAAGCCTAATTTTATCTTTTATCCTCATAATATAAAACAAATATTAAACTCATTATTATAACATACACTAGTAGATGACCTCCTTAATTAAAATATCTCAGCAGATAGTTTATAAAGAGCCTCTGGCAACTCAGGTAGAATAGAAATATACTGCCTCTTTCAAAAGCCTAAAGTTGATCCAAGGGTTTTTTGCCAATATTATCAATCTTCTTTGTTACTTTAATATACTTTTTTCTAACATGTATTTTGCAATCAATTTTGCAAGAATTCGCTATAACAAATTCAAACTTTGGACCTCTGTCCTGAAAGGGAATAGTTGTTCTAAATTTATTTTATATACCGCATAAATGTATTTTGTTGTTTCATTTATAGGCTTAGTGTTCATAAAACTCCTTGCATTTTTATAAGTTTCAGACACTAATACATAGAGAGAAAGAAAGAGAGAGGATTTTGCAACAGAATCCTGCCTGAGCCAGCTCTCAGTAGTCTGTTGGCAAAAGGCCTTTGTGTGAACTATTTCCAAGACCTCGGTCTGAAAGGCAGCCAAAATCTCCACAAAGAACAGGCCCAAAATGGCTTGTTACCTTTCACCTTTGACCCTCTGCCCAGCTGTCTCACACTTTGTGAACTTGAAATCTTGTGAGAGAACGCTCCGCCATCCTGTTTACAAACAGCCCATTTATTCCACAGGAACAGCTTGGCAAGACACAGCCAGGTCACCTGACCTTGAGTTGTCACAGAAACCAGGAGCCTCAGACTCTGCTTGTAGTGAAGCCAAAACTGTAACATTTGACTTACTGAAATCAGGGTTGGATTATGTGGCAATCATCAATCATTTAATTCACTTTCATGTTGTGCACTTCACCAAAGTATTAACACAAAAAATGTGAAAGCAATCATACTTGAACTAAGAGTTGGGTAAGCCAAGGCTTGCACTGAAGAGAGAAAAAGCACTAATTTTTAACCTGAATATTAAAAGTTAATCACAACTGCTACAATGCCCTAGATCTTTCAAAGTTTATCAGTATACAGCACAAATCATACAATCTTTTACTTATTCACGTTTGCAAAACCCCAGTCTTTGTTTTAATCAGAACCTTACATTAGGCATTTACCTGAAGAAGTACTTGATTAAATCCATTATCTCTGGCATGTTTAAACTAATCCCCAAGGCTGCTGCTTTGATCATTTTAGTGATTCCTTTAAAATAGATTCATTAATTAATTCTCACAAATTATGAATATGCACAAGTATAACCATATTTCTTTTTTAAACTGTTAAAATGTATCTTAAAATGAATAATACAGTGAATGATCACTTTTCAAAAGGTCATTTGTTATTCAAGACTTATTTTCAGGAGTTACTTTCTGAATTTCCTTACTGTACTCAACACATAATTAAATTTGCCAAAATGCCATATGCACACAACTTATCAAGAATAACTATCTTTTGAAATAAGTACAATGTGAATGAGTAGGGGTTTTTGGGTTTGGGGTTTTGGTTTTGCAGTGCTGGGATCAAACCCAGAACATCACACACACTAGGCAAGCACTCTACCATTGAGCTCTGTGCCTAACCCATGAATTTTCTTGATTTAGAACTATATCTTTACATTTACATAAATATTCACCACTAAGGAAGAATTAAATTAATTGCTTTGAAACAATTTGATAAATACTAAATATGAATGTTTAATGTAGGAAATGAGTTCCCTTTTCAAATCTGAGGACTGTGATGATGGCAGTGGTGGTGAGGGATTACATTTGTCGGATGTGCTGACTCTGCTGGAAGTGCCTCACGTGGATTAGCTGATTTAATCTTCACAGCCACCCAATGAGATATACATTATTGTCATTCTCATTTTATGGAACAAGAAAGTGAAGTCAAGGAAGATGAGGTCCCACCTCTAGTAAAGGGCAGTGGAGGAATTTGACCTGCAGCAATATGACTTGACTTTACTACCCCTCAAAACATAGTCTATAAAAACAGCTTACCAAGAATACAAGTAAAATAACATGTGAGCACTTAGAAGTGTGATACTGAGGGCTGGGGATTTAGCTCAGTGGTTCTACCACCTGCCTCACAAGCGCAAGGTCCCGAGTTTGATCCCCGGTACCAAAAAAAAAGGGTGTAATACTGTACACCCTTTACAGTCTATAAAGCACCTTCACAAATATTCTCCCATTTGAGTCTCAGAATTACTCTGTGAGGTGATATTATCATTTCTATTTTACAGATGAAAAAGCTAAGATAAGCAAAGGTTAACTGATTTGTCCAAGGTCACTTGAATAAAGAAATAACACAGTGAAGATAGCAATCTAGGTCTTCTAATGAAATACTGTGTTTTTCCTACTGAATAAGTCTTCTTATTTCACACAAGATCTTCCTAAGATAAAATACTATTCACTCAACAAGTAGAATGAAGAATTTCCAATAAGATCAATACAAGAAATAACAAAACAAAGTCTTCGGGCCAGGGATTTACCTCAGTGGTTCCTGCGCCTGCCTTGCAAGCGCAAGGTCCAGAGTTCGATCCCCAATACCAAAAAAAAAAAAAAACACACACACACAAAACAAAACAATCTTCCTTAATTTAACATTAAAAGAAAACAATGTAATAGTGGAATAATTTGGCAAAAATAAATTGAGCATTACATGTAAGATTATTCCCAAGTGGGATTCGCCTCTCGTTCTTCTGTTGTCACTGTATGTCAAAAAGCCAAAACTTTTGGACATAAAACACAGATTTTGAAATAGGCCCCTATAGGAGTTAAGCAGTTTGCAATTTTAGGAAGCAAAATCTTTTCTAAAAGACTAAATACGACATGTGAAGAACAGGAAGTCTGTTAAGGAAAGTTAACTCATAGGTTCCTAGAGCAAGAGACTTCAGAAAGACATCCTTTAACTGAGAGACTCATTAGAGAGCAATTAAATGATGAAGGCCTTTTGCTGCCATTTGTGATAGAGACCCTCTCTTTGGGCTATCTGTGGTATACTTTTTATGGAGGAATAAGTAAAAAATATAAGACAAAGAGGGGACAATAAGTGATATGAAAATAGATATATTAAGAAACATTTTAATATTTGTTCTTTTAAAGGAGCTTCAAAGGAAACAATTAAAATGGAAACAGAATTCCTAAGAGAATTTCCTTCTAGAATACATTAGAGAAAATCTAAACGATCGGCATACAACATGACAACGTGACATTTTTTGCTTTGTTCATCGTTTGTTCATTCATTTTTATTTGTACTGATGTATATTATCCCTACAGCGTGGGTTTCCTCTTAGTATATTTGTACACACATGGAACATATTTTGATTGTTTCCCCCATGGCTTCTCTCCCCTTTCTTCCCCCTCCCCTGAGTCTGTTCCTCTTTTCCAACACTCTCCCTTCTACTTTCAAATGATTTGAACTTTTAAAATAACATTAATATATAGCAGAATCGACCTGTTAAAAAATAAGGAATAGAAAGAGACAGAGAAGAAAAAATAAAGCAACTTACTTACAGGCAGGCCAGCATCACAGAATCCCAAGGAGACGTTTGTAGATTTGCCCATGACGAGATTTTCTGGCAAGCCTACCATGTGCAATCAAAACAAGAGGATCACTTGGTTCCTAGAATATGCATCATGACCACAAATGCACTCAGGGACGTCAATTAACTTAATAAATTTCTATGTGGTCATTTATTCTGAATGTTTTTAAATCATCACTGGTATCATTTCAAAAATTATATATTGCTCTTGTCACAGATTTTATAAATAGGCAAAATGGATGTTTGAAAACATATGGGTGAATGTACCTTGGAAAAGAAAATTAAAAATCAATTTGGGAAACCCGTTTTTGAACAGGGAGGAACATACCTTGTGTTGTAACCCGCTTACCAAAAATAAATAAATAAATAAATAAGATCTTTAAGAAAAGCACTGAGGTCTACTCTCCATACAGATATGTTTGGATTCTATTTTTCCTTTGTATTTCAAGAGTGCACCTCATTCTTCAGATATGCTTGCAAAGCCTGTCATTCTTTGCAACTTCAGTATTTTATCAAATGGGCTCAAAGGGCTATTCTCACAAAATCCTGTCTGATTGCCAACATCTCCTTGCTTTCTGATATTCCAGCACTAAAATTTGCTTTGAATCCATCTGTTTTCCCTCTATAATGTAAGTAGATAGAAGGAATCTCAACATGACTTTGGACACTTAACTCAAAAATGACCTTTTATGGTTTTGATACACTTGTGCTAAAATCTAAAACGAGAATTTATTCTATCTGAAAACATGCAGGCTGAGAAAAAGGAAAATTTACCTTTCTAAAGAATTTAGAAACACAAAAAATAGACATTTTTTGCCCACTGGAAAATACAGTAAAACTATTGTGGCACAATTGAATAGAGAGACTCTGGGGAAGTTATTTCTCTTCTAGATATCTTCTACACAATGGAGTACTACTCTGCTATAAAAAAGGATAAATTTGAGTCATTCATAAGAAAATGGATACACCTTGAGAACATGTTAAGTGAAGTAAGTCAGACAAATTTAAATATGGCATGGTTTCTGTGATACGAGAAACCCAAAGTATAAGTAACAAGCAAAGTAAACAATGATAGGAAACGGAAAGATAGATCTTTTGCAAGAGGGAAGGAGACGAAGAGGTGGAGGGAGAGGGAAGGAAGAGGAGGGGAGGGAACATAAAAGGAATTAAGTTGTGTTACATCCATGTGCCAATTCTTCACAACAGATGTAATCATTGTATACTGCAAACATGCACTAATCAAACTTTTACAAACAATTTTTGAAAATGAGAGATTCTGGGGAAAGGCCTGGGGTTGTGGCTTGTGTCCAGATGTCCCCCCAAAGCTTCAGGCAGTCTGTTTCAAAGCTGGCTAAATCTGGAATGTGTGATGCTAGGATTAAGGGTATGTGGTTACTAAACCACTACACCTGAGTAACTGGTTTGGCACCACCCTAATCCCGGAAGTCTGGGTAAGAGAAAAGGAGCAGAGAGACACTGTTAAGGTCCCTCGCTGCTTTTTGCTACCTTGTACGGGCCATGCTGTTCTCCTCTGCGATGCCTGTTTGCTATTCCTGCCTTGGAGCCAGCCGATTAGGGACTGAAACCTCTACAAACTGTCAGCTAAATAAAGCCCCTCCCCCTTTACCTTTGGAAGTCTGGTATTTTGTCTCAGCAGCAAGAGAAAAGTAACTAACACACCTGGGCACACCTGTCTCAGAAAACACTTGCTCTATTTTGTTGTACGAGTACATGAGTACTTACAGTTTCATCCGAGATAATGGTTTAATAGCTTAACAGTTCTGAAACAAATGCTTTAAAATGCTTTCTAACATCAGCTCTCATCTCCTTTCTCCCGCGTGGGCTCCCCCAAGCCCCAAGGTGTCCAGCGGCTTTTCCACCCTCCACCTCCCAGATCTGTGCTATCTTGTGCCTCAGTTAATTTCTGACTGAAGAATAAACACCCAAACTGCCCAGCTGCACACTTAGCAGCTCTTACCCTCTTGTCGCTCACCATGCTGAGCCAGGGAGTACGGGAGGTGAGGGCGATGGATGCCAGTCATGGTTTTCGTGTTGTCCTCTGAGCCTTGCTCTTCCCAGGTGATGAAAACGGCTACCAAAAATACCTGAGGCTCCCTCACTTCTTCTGAACCTCCGTAGGATTTCATGAGTTCTCATTACCTTTTTCCTCCCAAGAACAGCATGTCAAGCCATGCTTTTTCGGTCTCCCTCAATAGAAACCATAACCCTCGCCTGCTGGGCAAGCGCAAAGACCCGAGTTCGATCCCCGGTACCAAAAAAAAAAAGAAACCCTAACCCTAAGCTTTTCTTCCTGTGTACGTGCTTGCAGCGCATAATGGCAAAAACATCACGGGCAAAAATCTGCATAAATAAAAGACAATTGAAAAAGACCTGTTAAGACTTCAGATGTTAGAGATATCAGGTATACATTATAAAACTGTGCTTACTATGTATTTTTAAATATATGGTAATTTGAAAATATCTGCAGGGATAGAAAACTATGAAAAGTGAAAACACACTGAAAAATAGCCAAATGAGGGGCCGGGGATTTAGCTCAGTGGTATCGCCGCCTGCTGCTCAAGCACAAAGACCCAAGTTCAATCCCCGGTACCAAAAAAAAAATACAATCACTAAAGTTTAAACTCAGTGTATTGCTTTAACAGAAAATCAGACACAGAAAAAGAAAGAATTAGCGCATAAATCAGAAGAAACTATTCAGAAAACAATCAAGGAAGGTTGAGAAAATCTAATATATGTTTACTCTATTCCAGCAGAAGAGGAAAAAAGAATATTTTCAGAAGCAATCCCTGAGTTTATCAATGGCAATCTACAAGCTTTTTTTAACATCTCTGAAATCAAGATGAGTCTCCAAATTGGTGGTTTTCTACAATTACTGTTGGCCAGGCAGCAGTCAAATTGCTATGTGCTACTCATGTTGTCCTCATTTCAACTGAGTTACATGCACAGGCAGTAATGGATAAGTTGAGTTTAATTATTGTTTAAAATGTCTTTTAAAACTATGCATTAACATTGAGAATTAACGTGTTCATCCACTTTGTTACTGTAATGGAACACCACTGACCAGGTAATTTATAAAGAAAATAAATTTTTTTTTTTTGCAGTTTTGTAGGCTGGGAAGTCCAAGGCCCAGAGTCCTGCATCTGGTAAAAGTCTTCTTGCTGTGTCACCCCAAGGCAGTAAGTGGAAAGGGAAGACAGCAAGAGAGAAAGACAGGGTGGACTCGCCTGGGTAAAAGGCCCAGTCTCTCAATAACTAACCCATGCCCAAGCCAATGACATTAATCCATTCGTGACAGCAGAACCCTTGTGACCTCATCACGTTTTATGGGTTCCACTCTCAGCACTGCTGCCTTGGGGATTAAGTCTCCAATTCATGAACTCTGGGGGACCCATTCAAACCACAGTAGTTATTGTGATGTGTACTATACTCCAGGAAAGTTTGTTAAAAGTGGCACACAGTCTGACATTAGTGAAGCAATAATAAATAATTGCAATAATGGGCACAATTGAGTGATCATTAGATTCTTGCAAAGCAAACAACTAAGTTCTTACAGGACCTAAGGACAAAAAGAAATTATGCTATTCTTTCTTTCCCCCCGCCCCCCCAGTACCAGGGATTGAACTCAGGACCTTGTGCTTTCGAGGCAGGCGTGGTGCCATTGAGTTAAATCCCTGGCTATGCTATTCTGTCTATAGAGATACATATAAAAGATTATGTGTCAAGCAATGCAACTGATGACTTATTTACCAAATTCGCAACAAATTCATATATTATACAGTACCATTTCTGGGTTAGAGGTGTATATAGAGTGGTAGCTGAAGGCCCTGGGTTCAATCCCAGCAACCACAGACACACACACACCCACAAAGAAACAATAATAATATCCATAGTAATATTATTAAGACATGTAGTGGTATGTAAATAGTGCAAACAGCACATCTGACAATTAATAATATTTTACATTCAATAAAAATGATATTTGAAGAAATAAAATTCCCAGAACTGATGAAAGATACTCATTCACATTTTCAAGAAGCATCAAATTTCCAAGCAGTATAAATATAAGGTTATCTATACCCAAAGACATAATCATAAACCTGTTTAAAACCGAAAACAAGGAGAAAATTTTTAAAAGCAACAATAGGGATGGAATAAAGACAGATTACCTTCAAAAGAAAAACAGACACCAAGTTCATGGAGGAGTAGGCTGATACTGTATGAAGCGTACTTTCCCTGATTGGTTCATTGATTCTACCAAAATCTCGGCAGACTTTTGGCAGAATTTGACAAGTCGATACCAAAATTTCTGTGGAATTGCAAAACACCTAAAATGACAAAGCAGTTTTTTAAAAAATAACGAAATATATTGTTTCCCAATTTCAAACTTACACATCCCAATTTCAGAACTTAATATAAAGCTGCAGTTATCAACACAATGAAGTATTGTCAGACAGACATACAGATCGCTGAAATACAACTGCGAGTCCAGAAATAAACCCTTACACTGGGGTCAGCTCACTTTCCACAAAGTTACCAAGGAAATTCACGGGAGAAAGGATAGACTTCTAATAAACGCTTTTAAGAAAATTGGATACCCACATGCCAGAAGACAAAAGTCAGACCGTTATTTCACATCACATACAAAAATTAACAAAGAGTGGATCAAAGACTTAAAACAACAAATGTTTCAAAACAAAACACAGGCAAAATTCTCTAACTTAGTAAATCAAAGAAATCTTAGCTATGACACACACAAAAAAGTGAGTTTTTTGTTGTCGTTGTTTTTGTTGTTTGTTTGTTTGTTTGGTGGTGCTGCTGCTGCTGCTGCTGCTAATTTTTGAATCCAAGGCTTCACACACACGTTAGTACCCCTCCACTGAGCTACATCTAGAGCCCCCAAATTTTGTTGATAATTTAGAGCCTGTGAATCTATTTTGTTTTCAGTTGCTTGGGTGGATAAGATTAGAGAAAATGTAATTGCTCTAAAAGAACTTTCTGTCCCTCAGTTACAGTGGCACAGGGAGAAATCTTATTTAGCCAAAAGGGAGTAGGGACACATTTGAAAACAAAGTTGGCCCTGTGACTCAGTTTTACAAACAGAAAGACTCACGATTTGGGTCACTATGGATCCTTTTCTCTACCCAAAAAGGAGATCCTACTAGGAGCCATTAGAATGGTCCACATTTTTAAGTTGCAACATCAGGACTTCATTATAAATAAGGCATTTAGGAAAAATTATATTTTTTAGAGACAAATGTCTTAAAATGTACAAGTCCTTCATCACATATTTTTAATACTAAAGAAAGACAATAGGGCTTCTTTTAATCATCTAGCCTCAAGTACCTTCTGAAAGAGTCTATAGAACCAATATCAATGCAAGTTCTATGCCTGACAGAAATTCATTCTAAGGATTTTTTTGCTCTGAAAAATAATGTCATCGCTATGGATTCCACACTGGAATCCAACGACAGAAATGATAACATGTTGTTAAAATGTTAGCAACTGCATTCCATTTTATGAAAAGGAAACTTGGTTTTCCTGAAAGTGTTGATTATTTTTCTTAGCAGTGTTCAAGAATCTGATCTATCACAAAGTGGAAGAGTTACAGTATGTACCAACTATCAACCAGGAAAAATGAACCTGGGTCATAACTCACTTTGAAAATATCTAGTTAGTCAATCAAGTGATTTGTAATCATAAGGACTGCCAGAAATTGAATGAGTAATGGGCCACAGTAAAATCCTTGGCTTTTTTTAGTATTCTTATTTCATTATGTGACTTTTATTGCCATGTTTTATCACTGTTTCTCAGCAGCACAAATTATATCACCCATATTTACTTAGAACTTTTTGACTATTAAATAAGATAAAGAATGTACGAAATGAATGACCAGAGTATGTAATGTCTTTTAACAAAATTAAGTGTTATTAATTACAGCTTAAACAAGGAAAATTGTATTTCTTTTAATCACCAAACTCTCTTCCCATATTATATAAATTATTTAGTCAAAATGCTATTCAACATAGCTCATTTTAATTCAGTATATAGTCTTAAGTAATTTCCATACAAACTACAACAAAAGAATCATTTAACAGAGTCTAGTTGATATCAGAAACCTTAACCTTCCATTTAATATCTTCATTGTATAGTATTTCCTCCAATGAAACTACAGTGTAACCTGATGGCGAAGCCACATTTAACCGCTGTAAGCTATAAGCAGACAAAATATTAAAACCAACCTAAAGCTTGGCATATTATTAAAGGGGAAATATAGTAAATGAGTGTTTTACAAAATGTAAAATGGGGCCGGGGATTGGGCTCAGTGGTTCCACCTCCTGCCTCGAAAGCACAAGGACCCAAGTTCTACCCCAGTACCAAAAAAGAAAAATGTAAAATGACTGAAACATGTAAAAATGTGTCATTCTAGTAATACTTATCCTAATAAGCCTCTAATCATGATTGTGTGGCATAAAAATTAAAGTTTTTAAATTACTGAAACTTCCAATGTGATAACAAATAGGCTTATCCATTTATTTTCTTTATATAATTTTTATGTAGAAGGATCTTTTCCCAGCATTAAATGGATTATATAGCACCAAGTAAGGAAAGGTTAGGATCTACTATATTCATTACTAAAATCTAGTATTTATGAAAAAAACAACTATCTAAATTTTGTGAAGAAATTTCACATAGCAAATATTTGGTTGTTCGAGGTAACAAAACTAAGGACACACGGTGCACATTGGCTCCAAGAAGCTAGTATGAATGTAGTGAATCCCAGGAGAGATAGGCTTTTGCACAGGTAGTACCGAAGTACCCCACCACAGAATTCACTTTACCCCCACTCCCACACCGACTGCCAAAAATCACCTTTTCTTTCCTAGAGAGACTAACCATTCATTCAACAAGTGTTTATTAAGTGCTCACTCTGGAGCCAAGGATTATGCTCAAAACTAGGGACACAAAAATGTTTTAGACATGCAGCCTTTGTATTTTCACTTTGTGGGGAGGGAGTCTGGGATTCAACCCAAGGCCTCTTCAATGATCTACATCCCCAGCCCATTTTTAATTTTTTATTTTGAGATAGAGTTTTGCTAAGTCACTAAGTCACCCGAGCTGGGCTAGACTTCCTCTTCGCCTCCCTCGGCCTCTCAGAGTGCTGGGATTACAGGCACATACCATCATACCTAGCTGCATTTGTCCTTAAAGTATCTATGAACTAGTAAGAAAAAAGCATGCAAATAAAGAAAAACAGTAAGATACAGGTTCTACATTAGACTCATGTACTGGAAAGGCTCAGTGATAAAGGTCAGTTGCCAAGAAAGGCTTCAAAGAGTTAATAAAGCTGAATCTCAAATGAAAACTTGGTGCTTACCAGGAGAGCAAAGAGTAAAGACCATAATGGTCAGAAGGAACATATAAATGAGGACAAAAGTGCCAAACAGTTTATCATGGTAGCAAGACTACAAGCAATTTGGTTTAAAGGGAATTTATATGTAAGGAATATCTCTGATGTTGGGTGCCAGAGTAAGTCTGAAGCTGTCTACAATGGCCCAATAATAGAAGACCTTGTGTGTAGGCTAAGCACAATAATATCTATATTTTATAAACAAGGGAAATCATTAAAGGATTTTGAATATAAAAATCACAGAAACATAGGCTTTTTAAAGTCAAAATATTGATACATTTGGTTTTCCTCAACACTAGTCAAAGTAATGTTTCACATTTTGTTAGACAACTAATACTACTATTTCAGATGACATATTTAATGTTTATATGTAAATACTACCCTAGAACCAAGATCTCAGCCTCTAGCAAACAAGAATCACACAGCAATTCTACTACCTCAAGAGTAGAGCAGACACTCAAAATACACCAGCTAAATTTCCTAAAGAAGCACCACCAAGATTCTACTTAAAGAATTCATCTGTGTGACATGTGCACATGTATACATACACAACAATACTTTTAGCACATAATATAACAAAAGGCTGTCAAAAGTTATGTCAACACAATGTCAAAAAAGCAAATATTTTGGCTTGGACATCTTTTGGTATACCACAATCAAAAGGTTTATAGACAAAGTCATTTTTTTTTTTGGTACCGGGGATCATACTTGGGACTTTCTGCTTGCAAGGCAGGCGGTGGAACCACTGAGCTAAATCCCTGGCCCAACAAGGTCATTTTGAACTAGCTAGACTAGGCTTCAAGAGTGAAATGGCCCATCTGTAGTCACATACAAAAAGTTTCAAGTGAGCTGGCAGTGTAGATCAGCAGTAGTGAACTTGCCTAGCATGCACAAGGTCCTGGGTTCGATCCCCAGACCTGAGGGTAAAAGAATTTCATGCAGCACAACACAGCATATATAAGCAGGAGCTTAGAGGTTCATAGTTCAGTTTGAATTCTAAGTTAGCTACTGACCTTATGTAATTGAACTCAGTAAGTCTTAGTTTCCTCAACTATAAACATTAGGTAATTATTCCTACATTATATTATATTATATGATAGTACTTAGAATAAAACTGAGCAAATATTACTCAATAATAGAATTTTATTACCATAATATAGTAAAATTATGCTAGTACTATAAACTCAAAATTATACATTAAATATTTTCTGATTACTTGCATTATAATATTATAGAAATATTATCTAATATTATCAAAGCCTAGTACCACTGAAAAGGTTTGGAGCAGAGTCATTTGGGAAATGATGATGATAATAATAATACTGAGTCAAATCACCTAAAAATAGTGCTTTTAAGGAACAATATTTTGAAAAATGTATCTAGTTATACTTAACAATTAGAAACACAAGAGAGTCCTTCCTATCTTACTATGGAAATACCGAAATACTTTTTTTATTAGGGCATATTTGCAGGACATAATGATTACAGTCCTCATGAGTTGTTGGTACCTCCACATGACACAACTTAATTCTTTCTTATCCCTTTCCCTTCTCCTCCCTTTCCCCTCCCTCCTTCCCTTGGCCCCCTTCCCTTTTGCAAAAGACCTGTCTCATCATTTCCCACTACCTTTTATTTGGCTCTTTATTTATATTTTCAGTTTCTCAAATCCATTTATTCAAAGGTTTGGTTCAACTCTGATATTTCTTTGTTGATTTTTTTTTGTCTACCTGATTTGTGTATTTTGTGACAATGGGATATTGAGGTCCCCCATTATAACTGTGTCAGTGTTTATCTGATCTTTTATGAACAGTAGTGTTTGTTTTGTAAAGCTAGGTGTGCTGGTGTTTGGAGCATGTATGTTTGTAATTGTTATACTGAAATCCTTTTGTGAAGAAAAGAAATTTATTCAATCACAAACTTTTCTCCAAATAGAAATTTTTTTCAAAAACCTTTCTCCATATTATTCTTTTTTCACTTCATGGCCTCTTCAGAAACATTTAGTATAGATTGTTAGGCTGGTTATAATCATATAATATCCACATGTACATCTTCATATCTAAAAGGAGGTTGGACTTCAGTGAACATCAGTTCTACTAATCTTTGACCTCAAGATTTATTTATACTACTGAAGAAGAAAAACTAAAACATAATAACTATTTTTAAAATGAAGAAATGAATAATTATTATGGAAAACTGTGGAACTTTCTAAAGCAATTTAAAAGAGCTATATACAATTCAGAAAACCTCTTTCTGGGTATGTACCCAAAGTCAATGAAACACCACCTCATAAAGATACCTATAATCCCATGAACATTACATTATTGTTGTTCACAATAGCCAACATGCAGGCCCAGAAGGAAATAGAGCATGATTTCCCATACGTGGGGAATGTTTTATTAATGTCAAATATACAGAGTTAGAGAATAAGACTGATAATGGGTGTTGGGGAAAGGGAATGGAAAGGTGTCATAGGATGTAATGTAGCAGATATATAGGTAAAGACCTAACATACAGCACGAAGACTATAGTTAATAAAAGTGTATTGTGTTTCAGATTTATGTTATATAAACAGATTTTAGCTATTCTTGTAACACAAAAGTAATTTTGTGACTACATATATATACTAATGTACTTCACTGTAGTAAACATTTTATTATCTATATGAACCTCATAATGTCATGATGTAAACCTTGAATATACACAATAAAATTTATGTTGGAAAAGAAATAGAACACTAGCAAAGCAAGACTATAAAGAAAATTTACTTTGTAATCTGAAGAATCAAGCGAAAGCAACTAGTATAAAGAGGACAAAAGCAACATTAGTACTTGTATTAAGTTACTCATATATAGTCACACATATACACACATACCTACACATACTTCATGGTTAAGTAAGAAAGACTTGGTCAAATCACAAATGTAATTAATACAGCAAAATGAAACTATGATTATTAAAAATATTTGCATGAACTACAAATTGCTATGTAAATACACTACTGATTCTTATAATAGTATTAAACATATAGTCACCCACTATATTTCTGTAACAGCAGCCTATGACAAGCATCATGAATGGATGCCAGTTGAATTACCAAAGGATTTTATCTGAGAATGGAAGACAATCTGTGCATGATATTCGACTCATCCTGAAAATTCTGAAAAAAGTGTGCAACATATGTAATCAATTTGTGATTCTTTCCTAGTTAATATGCATTCAAATAAGTGTTATGAATTATCAGTCAGCTAGCATGCATTATATGGAATGGTTCTTAGCTTGGATGGTGGCATGCATCTATAAACTGGGAACTCAGGAGGCTGAAGCAGGAAAATTGCTGGAGCCCGGGAGTTTGAGACCAATCTGGGCAACATAGTGAGACCCCATCTCAAAAAAACGCCTGCTTTTAAGTATATTCAGAAACAACAAGTCATTACTTCCATTCTTTTTCATTGTTAGGCTGACTTCTGTGCTATTCTTTAGACTCCAATAGTGAAACATCATAATTCAACATCTCAGTAATGTCTCATAAAACAAAATTTAAACCAATTGTTGTTTCATAACATTACAAACATAAAATAATAATACAATCACTCAGGTATGAAGATGACACGACCTACCATCAATAAAGATGAGCTTCAAATTGTTTTTCTGTGGTGAAGATAGACTTGTTGATCCAGCCAATTCTCTTGCCAAAGCTCCCTGGTGAACAACAGCTTACATCTGCAAGATAAGTGCTACCAGTGGTCACAGAAAATCACAAAATAAAATAATCAATACAGAAATAAAACCTGTCTTTGGCCCCAAACCACTGTATGCTGATTAAATTAAAAAATGAAAATAAAAACCTCAAAAAACATGCAAATACTGTGTAATACTTATATTAAAAGTTCTATATGCTTTTACTCGCATGCATTCAGTGTATTCTCTATATCACTGATGTACAAGTAATCAGAGCATGACCTTTACCCCTAACTAAAAATGTTCTCAGCTGTCTTAACAAAAATAAAGATTGTTTCTGACATGTGAAATCAGAAGTGTATAGTAATAATGCGCAAAGCATGAAAGCATGCCAAGTTTATATCCCTCATCACCAGTAGCAATAACTGAGGAAATTACAGAATATTTTTGTTAATGTTAGCAATATTCTCAATAGCATTAAATGCAGTATGACTACAGCCAAAATTACTTTGACATTTCCCAGAATTCTGAAAAATACTCGTACTTTATATGAAGAAAAAATACTTCAGTTACTAGCTACAGTGTACATTCTTGTTAAAACAGAGATTTTGTGATAAAATATTTCTACTGATTATTGATATGAAATTATATTCATTTCTGGTTGAATCTCTTTCATGGGAGTTAAAAAGCCAATTAAATATTACTGTTATACATTGTTTATCAGTAAAATTAATGTTAGGAGTCTCTTTATTATTTGAGAGAATAAATTAGATGAAAACTGTTCAAAATCAGTAGAAGCAGTTAATGACTGAATAAAATTCAAACACAATCACAATGCTAAGTCCCTATAATAAGCGAAGAATTATTTGAAGTTTCCATGAAGAGTTATAAAAATAATGAGGCATAATACACAAGCTCCAGTAAGTCATGGTATTGAAATTACTGAAACATTTTTCTTTCCGTTCTCCAGAATTATTTATAAAAACAAACAGCTAAATTCTAACCCAGCCACTGTTCTAGAACAGGAAGGGTGAGGTGGAGAAGGAGAGCCTCATACCAAGGATGACAGGTACCACCCAGGTGAAGCTCTGAGCCCCCTCGTGCAGATAGAGATCGGGAAATTTCAACAGAACTACTGAGAACATCTGCCACAAGCTGTGATTCAGGTCTACTGCCACCTGTAAACAAACACACTTGGTTAACTTTGAAGCACTGCACAAACGCTGCCAGTCATGATTCCACTCTAATGGGTCATTCTGGTATATTCCCATAATAGATCTTTGTCATATGAGTTCCCTACCACCTTCGCCCACCCACTTACTAAATCTACAAGACCTCCACTAGGCTATAAATTCTTAAAGTTCCTCTTCATTTTGATTTCCAATGTCTAGGATGCCTAGCAACACACTTAAATGGCAGTCTAGTAAGAAAGAAAAAGACAAAAACTGGCCTCTACGATATCCTGTAATCAGTTCTATAACAAGTTTTATGGAAAGTGCAACATATACTAAAAGGAAAGAAAAATATGCTTAGAATAAAGCCTACCAAGAGGAAATGTCATTTCCGATAAGTGTGCTAAAGAATAATGTGCAGTGGCACATGCCTGTAATCCCAGCTCTCTGGGAAGCTGAGGCAGGAGAGTTGTGAGTTCAAACCCAGCATGGGCAACTTAGCAAGACCTTGTCTCAACAGAAAAATTAGAAGAAGGGTTGGGGATGTAGCTTGGTGTGAAGACCTGGATGTGCGGTGGGAAGAGTAATTGCTGACAAAAGGGACAAGAAGACAAAGGGAATTCTTAGTGGAGGGAAGAAATGAAAAATTATGGAGATGCAAAGGGGTACACAATATCCTGGAAACTGCAAGCAGTTTGGGGGAAAGCAGAGGACGAAAAGAAAGGGGCGAGAGAAAGATTACAGAGTGCCTGATACAAACAAAGCTGGAGCTCTTTCCTTACTAGAGAGTTAAGCCAGGAGGCTGGCGTGGTCGTGAAAAGGATCTTGGCTGTGGCCCCAAAGGGCGGCTGGGGGGCAAGAGCCGAAGCAAAAGATTTAATCGCAAGGTCAAAGCTGGCCTAACACTGTACAGAAATGCAGTGACTCAACTCATCACCAGTAAGCCTCAGGTCCTTTACTTGGTGGGTTTCAAATTCCGATACACATTGGGAGGATATTAAGGGTTTGAATTTATTTTCTAAAACCGTCCATGTGAAATAAACTCAATGGAAAACGTAGCAGGAACTTGACAGGCATTATACCAAGATGCCAAAATACTGTAGTAATAATGACTGGCTCTGAGGAGTAAGGCTAGGGGTCATGTTTTTCTTGTTATTGATATTTTCCAGATATCTACAGAATACAATTAAAAATAAATCTTACAGCAATGTCTTGGAGTTTAACAGTTAAAACTGGCTTTAACTCTTTGAAAGTGCCTGAGCCAGGAGTCCTTGACAACATAATTGGCCGTAAAGCCTCACTTCACCACCACAGAACAACATGCACAGCATAATTATTCCTATATCAGGGCCTTAACATGTTCCACCTTCCCCTACAGCATCTTCTTGGCCCAAATGCCTATGGAAATCCCAACTTCATCATGCTACCAGCTACAATGACCTTACCTATCCCACATCTTTTGATATTTAATCATAATTTATTAAAAACTATTCTCAACAGTTACCCAGTTTGTTCAACCTACAATTTTTATAAGAATAAACAAGCACAAAATCAGTCCTATTCCAAAACAAATATTCGTACATGACTTATGTACGGACACACATTCATATAATTTTACCAAAGTGTTGATAAACTTCAAATTTATGTCTGTAGCCACGACTAAAGAGATTTCAAATATGCTATCTCAGAAATAGAGCCTTTTGTTGTAGGTTGAATTGTATCCCCGCAAAAGATCCTGACACCCTAACTCTAGCTCCTGTGACTGGAACCATACTTGGACATAGGGTCTCTGCCAATGACCGGGTTAAAATGAAGTCACTAAGGTGGATACTAATGTAATATGACGGGTGAACTCATAAGTAGGGAAAGCTGGACACAGAGACAGGCATGCACCCAAAAGAGGACATCGTGAGGAAAAGAAAGCAGAGATTAGTGGTGCATCTGCAAGCCAAATCACACCCAGGATGGCCGACACACCTTCAGCCGCTAGGAGATTCTCCTTCTCATCCCTGAGAAGAAGCCAACCCTGCCGGCACTTCCATGTTGGATTGTTGGCCTCTAAAACTGTGACATAATAAAATTCTCTTGTTTAAAAAGCCACCCAGTTTGTAGTATTTTGTTATCACAGCCCTAGAAAAATAACACACCTGCTAACAGAAACCATGTTTTCCCTCCTGAAAAGTCACTAAAACCAAAAATATCCCGACCTAAGATTAGGAATCAGAAATTTTAAAATGTCTTGCTATTCATTTTACAATCTGATATCACATGTGCTATTTAATAGCTAAGCCAAACTGGTGCCAAAAGAACTCTATATTATAGACATGATTTTTCCTTCATTGTACACAATACCATTGAGACACATGTCACATAATCAAACACTGGAAGATGTTATCATTCTATAGATACTAGTATATAAAAATAACATGAAGTTATACAAATGTTTCTTGGCTTTACAAGAGAGCTGCTTTATGCACTATTTGTACCTGTGAGGGTAGGGTTTACCCATTTTAAAAAGATAGCGTAGTGAGTGACTTGGTAAGGAACAATGACAGCAGCGTAAACCAAGAAGGGGCTCCAGAGTGTTGTATTTCAGTGGAAATCCATGCTCTGCCACTCACGAGCTACATGGCTTGAGCGAATTACTTAACCATGGCTGAGATTCAAACTCTTTATTAGTAAGATGGGAATTTTATCTTTTACAGTAATGGATTGACTAATATATAAAATCTGAATAACATACAATGATCATAATAGGGCTTCACTATGTATATAAAAGAAAAATTCATAAGGTAAGGGTTTTATATTTCTCTTGTATAGGAAAAATAATTAACCAAGCTTATGTAAGAGCAAAAGTCTTGATACTGTACATACATACTGTATATAAAAATCTTGCCTTCAGCTAATTCCCTGCTAGAAAATGCAAGAGTTTCAGAATTTTAAAGTTATACATCAAAACTCAAAATATGTTTGAACCTCATCATAGAACTAAAATACAAATAGAATCTTAGTGACTTTGGGCTTTGTCATAGACATCATTTGGCATGTGGCTTTCAAAATTCCACAATACCACTCTCGTATTCCCTCAGATCACTAAACCTTAGCCAGTTCAAGAAACTTCCTTTATAAACTTAGAGTGGCATCAAGGATAACTCTAGTAGTATGTTTAACTCCACAGTAACCTGCTACAGGTATTACTGACATGTTTCCCTCTTTATAAATATAAATCTTATAAAACATTTCTCTCAAAAAATTAACTAGGGCTGGGTGTTTAGCTCAGCTATAAAGTGTTTACCCAGCCTGCACAAGGCCCAGAGTTCAATCCCTAGCACTGCAAATAACAACAACAACAATAACAATAATAATAATAAATTATAAAGGAACTTACTTTGGAATCCAAATACTTATTTTGAGAAATAGCTAAATAATGCAAAACCTAATAGATAACCACAATTTAAAAGGACCTATCATATCAATATAAACACTTTATACTTTCATTAACAATTGCAGAACTTAAAAACTGAATCCTATGTCTGTATTTACATATTAAAAATAAGAAAAAATTCATAATCAATTCAAGAAAAACTGCAATTTTTATAGAGAAAATATTGGTATGACTGTCAACATTTTATCTAAAACAGCTATTTTCACTGGTCAAATTTGTTGGAAAATAAAACAACAACCAACTTCTTACAAGAGAGGTAAATAGTAATTATTCTTAGCATCACTTAATAAACTTTGATGAGTATAAAAACATGCTTAATGCTATAATAAGTTCAATATTAACATTAAGACCAAACATAAGGCTTTTAAATAAAGGCAAAATGTTTTGCCTTCATATTTGGTATAGGTCCTAACTTTAACTCAGGCTTTGTTACTTGGATTTTACAAAAATGAACATGCTTCTAGCTAAATTAAGCAACACAAAGCCTCTTTTAAGAGAATACTGTTACGTAATTGTTTTTCTTTTCTTGGCTGTACTAGGAATTGAACCCAGGGCCCTGAGCCACATACTCAGCTTCTTTTTTCTTTTTCTTTTTCTTGTTTTTGGAGGAGACATGGTCTCTTTAAATTGCTAAGTTGCCCAGGTTGGTCTCAAATTAACATCTTCCTACCTCAACCTTCCAGAGGGCTGAGATTATAAGTATGCACCACATGGTCAGCTAACAATTTTTTATTTACAGAGAGAGAAATTGACGTACATACTTTAAACAAAACACTTTAGAGTATGCAGAAAAATTCTAAGATCTTATTTTTAAAAACTGAACTGAAGTTAGCAAATGCAACAGTCATTCAAAATACATATTAATAATACTATAACTGTGGTAGTCCCCAAATTACAATTCCAAGAATCTTTTTCAAAAGGTAAACAGCAAGGGAAAACTAAATATATTTTCTTCTTCCCTTAAAATCTCAATACAGTGGGC